ATGGCCCCTGGTAGAACGACCCCCGCTACGACGACGACTCGCATAAAACGACCACCTCTTGAGTACAATCCCACAGGTAGAACGACCCGCGCTACGACGACGACTTGCATAAAACGACCACCTCTTGAATACAATCCCACAGGTAGAACGACCCCCGCTACGACGACGACTCGCATAAAACGACCACCTCTTGAGTACAATCCCACAGGTAGAACGACCCGCGCTACGACGACGACTTGCATAAAACGACCACCTCTTGAGTACAATCCCACAGGTAGAACGACCCCCGCAACGACGACGACTCGCATAAAACGACCACCTCTTGAGTACAATCCCACAGGTAGAACGACCCGCGCTACGACATCGACTTGCATAAAACGACCACCTCTTGAATACAATCCCACAGGTAGAACGACCCCCGCTACGACGACGACTTGCATAAAACGACCACCTCTTGAGTACAATCCCACAGGTAGAACGACCCCCGCTACGACAACGACTTGCATAAAACGACCACCTCTTGAATACAATCCCACAGGTAGAACGACCCCCGCTACGACGACGACTCGCATAAAACGACCACCTCTTGAGTACAATCCCACAGGTAGAACGACCCGCGCTACGACGACGACTTGCATAAAACGACCACCTCTTGAGTACAATCCCACAGGTAGAACGACCCCCGCAACGACGACGACTCGCATAAAACGACCACCTCTTGAGTACAATCCCACAGGTAGAACGACCCGCGCTACGACGACGACTTGCATAAAACGACCACCTCTTGAGTACAATCCCACAGGTAGAACGACCCGCGCTACGACGACGACTTGCATAAAACGACCACCTCTTGAGTACAATCCCACAGGTAGAACGACCCCCGCTACGACGACGACTCGCATAAAACGACCACCTCTTGAGTACAATCCCACAGGTAGAACGACCCGCGCTACGACGACGACTTGCATAAAACGACCACCTCTTGAATACAATCCCACAGGTAGAACGACCCCCGCTACGACGACGACTCGCATAAAACGACCACCTCTTGAGTACAATCCCACAGGTAGAACGACCCCCGCTATAACGACGACTCCCGTAGAACGACAACTTCTTAGTACGACCTCGAAGGTAGAACGACCCCGATAAGAATCCCTGACGACCTTCCTACCTTTCTAATGAGCCTTGCTGGAACGACCAACCTCCTAGGACGACCACCCATCCCTTTCTCTACGACCTCTCACGGACGACCTCTGGGACCTCTCTTGTACGACCACTCCATAATAACATGAGAATCAACCTTGAGCTATTTGAGTATGGGAAAGAGAAGAAAGAAGAAGAAGGAGAGGGGGGAGAAAAGGGAACAGGGGAAGAAGGGAAGAGACGAAGGATGAAAGGAAGGAGAAAGGGAAACGGGATAATAGATGCTGGAAAGAGGAAGAGGAGAAAGATCTGGAAGAAACGAAGATTAAAAAAGAGAGGATTAAGATGAAGTAGAGCAGAGAAAGAGATGGAAATTGAAGAGAATGATTGTTAGGGATCAAGAGAAGCACACAGAGTGAGTCAGAGAAGCGGATGTGCGCCTCCAGGAATCAATGTGTAACTGCAATGACACAGAAATGTATTACAGAAGGAGAGAGAGAGAGAGAAGAGGGGGGGAGACAGACAAAGAGAGAGAGAGAGAGAGAGAGAGAGAGAGAGAGAGAGAGAGAGAGAGAGAGAGAGAGAGAGAGAGAGAGAGAGAGAGAGAGAGAGAGAGAGAAAGAAAGAGAGAGGGAGGGAGAGAGAGACACACAGATAGACAAAGAAAGAGAGAGAGAGAGAATGAGACAGAGAGAGAGAGACGGACGGACAGACAGACAGAGGAAAGGAGAGAGACAGAGACAGACAGACAGACAGGGACAGAGAGGAAGAGCCAAAACGTAGAATATGAAGATAAACAGATACACTTGAAATGTACAAAAGAAAGAAAGGAAGACAGGAAGGAGAGAAAGAAGACGAGAGATGGGAAGAAATAACACGATAAGACGCGGAACAATCTCAAAGGATAAATCAAAGTCGATATCAATTTTAAGAAACGACAGTTAATTCCGACGAATCAGGGACGAGGCCGGATTGTTGTTTTTATATTGTCGGTTATTGGGGTTAGGAATCAAATGATAAAAATAAGCATAAGCATACATATACATGTATAACCACACGCATACGCACATATACACAGACATACAGACGCATACACATGTAAATGTAATCATTCTGTATATTTACCAGGTAAAGGGCAAGGGCTTAAACCCTCATTTTCTTTAATTTGTAGTAAAAAATAAATAGACACACACATCTATACACAAACACACACACAAGGCGTTATCTTTATAACATGTATATTCCAAACCACGGTGGTGCAGATTCCTATTTGAGGTGAATTTCAATCCTTTGCCTGCAGGATCAAGGCTCGACAGAATAACCTTATAAGCTCCAGAAGGATTGAATCCCCTTTTGT